TGGCTTAATCTTTGAGACAAGCATATGACTACTGGCAGGATCAACCAGGTAGCAATTTTTTGCGTCGGAACTTCACGATCGCGGACGACCGTGACATTCCTCATCAAATCTTCCCGAGAAACAAGAAGATTGACTTCAATTTATCTTTGCACTTTGATCGCTCTTGCGCTTATATGCTCGTAATGATTAGCGAGATGCAATACATCAACGCCTCACCACGTGCATCTTTCCTTTTTCCCACTTCCATCATTTTCCTGTGGTAAGATCGATCCAAAAAATTTATTATTTTGATCGATCTACCATTCTTATGCGATATTAAAAGATAGATGGACATACTCATTAACAAGTCATCCAACCAACGAATCCACTGATCGCAAATCGCTGATAAATTATATGATTACGCATCGCGTATGCAATACACACATGCTTATCACGCTACCAGATCACTTATTCGTTTCGGGTAGCTAGATTTTTTGGAGTCTTGCCAAATGTCTTCACAAATCGACCATTCGAAAACGGGAAACCTGCGAAAGGCATTAGCTTATTTGCCTAAAGATAATAGATAAATTTTTTTGAATTCGTAAAGTACGTCTATTTTCCTATAAAAAAACTGAAGTTGCCTAAAGATAACACATATATTTTTAAATCTTTTGAATTCGTAAAAGTATGCCTTTTTCTTTAAAGAAAATAATTTAATTTTCCAAGATGCTTATAGACATCACATAGATTTTTAAAATCTTAATTTTTTGAATTCGTAAAAGTACGCCCTTTTCTTTAAAAAAAATAATTTAATTTTCCAAGATGCTTAAAGACAACACATAGATTTTTAAAATCTTAATTTTTTGAATTCATAAAAGTACGCCTTTTTCTTTTAAAAAAAATAATTTAATTTTCCAAGATGCTTAAAGACAACACATAGATTTTTAAAATCTTAATTTTTCGAATTCGTAAAAGTACGCCTTTTTCTTGTAAAAAAAAATATTTAATTTTCTAAGACAACAGATAATTTTTAAAATCATTTTAATTCTTGAAGTACGCCTGTTTCTTTTAAAAAAAATTTATCTTTCTAGTTTCAAACAAACACAGAAACAGAAAAAAATTAAGTATTTTGTAGATTTTTAAAATTTTGTGAATTCGTAAAATGCGCTTATTTCTTATTAAAAAATAAAAACTTAGTTTTTTAACTCCAGACAATCAACTCGTCGCTTAGATATATGATCAATTCTTCTTTACTGATCATCTTTTTCTGAATAATAAAAGCAGAAGAAAATTGTTTAAAGAAATGATTGGTACAGTGACGTATTTTCGATTGTCTTGATGAAATTTTTCTGAAAAAAGAAAATTAACGCTGAAAAATTTAAAGGTTAGTAAACACGTGCTCTTTACCACGTGTTTACTTAGTAAAGGTCACCTTTATTTTCCCAGTTAATCGAAATTTAAAGTTCGCTTCGTGAATTTTTTGATTATATTAGGAAAGATCTGTCTATTTCAAATAGTAAATATTATCATTTTCTGAAAAGCAAAAAAAGAAAAATTACACAAAAAAGCTGAAAATTTTAAAGGTTAGTAAACACGTGCTCTTTACCACGTGTTTACTTAATAAGTGCCACCTTTATTTTCCCAGTTAATCGAAATTTAAAGCTCGCTTCGTGAATTTTTGATTATATTAGGAAAGATCTGTCTATTTCAAATATTAAATATTATCTTTCTCTGAAAAACAGAAAAACAAAAGAAAAATTACACAAAGATGTTGCTGCAGTGACGTAATTTCGTGATCTCACATGAAAAAAATTAGATCGATATTTTATACGTAACGGTAATCGGTTATTGTAATCTGTGCCCAATAGAAATGCACAAGTTTTTAATAAAATATAAATATATCAAAATTTTTATGTAAATTATTTAAACATACAATCACATATATCAAATATTATTAAAGATAATATTTCAATTAGGATTTAGGATCTAATAAATAAATTCAATAAATTAAAAAGTTCAAAATACAAACAAAATATAAATAAAGCTATATTATATTTTACAATTCCTTTTCTTTGAAATATTTGATAATACTACGAGCTTTATTTAAAGAAACATTATGTATAGGATGAGTAGGCCGCTATAAAAAAAAATCATAAAAAATGTGAAATCTTAAATCACTGTTAAATCATGAGTAAAAGTAATTATATATAAAATTGCTTACCAAAAGATTTTCCGCCAATCCGACAACATTTTCTCCCAAAACTTCTTCAACCCACAGTAATGACTTTTCTAAAGCCGATAATTTCTTGGTTGATTCATCATTATTACCAAGCAATTCGCCGTTAAGATCATAGATTATGTGATGTTGCGAGGATGATAGGCCACTTAGACAGTAACATGTATGATAGAAGTCGGGGTTCAAATATGGTTTGTCCATTAGTCCGCCACCGGGTGATTGACATGCTGCTAAAATGTATACTTGAAGTGCCTCTATTATATAAATCGCGATAATAAATTCAATAAAATTTATTTTAAGTTTCTATAAATCAAATGGGGATTTAATATATTTTTACCTTGATCAAATAAAGGCTGAGCTATAGAATAAAATAAAAAAGAAGTAAATGATTCATTCATCACATATAGTTATATTCAATTGATTCCTGACAAGAATAAATAAATATGAGAAATACCGATAAATTTAGCAAGATCTTCCTCGCCCGCTATATTCCTTCTTTCAAATTGCCTCCTTGTCAATATAGCCTCAATGAGGGGAAACAATCCACCGACCCAAAAAGAGTAGCAACCGTCCACCAATTTGTTAGGTCGCCCTTGAAATCCACCTTCGAGCGACATTTGTAGTGATACTGCCCATTTCTATATTAAAATTTCCGTGTATATTGTTATGAATTGTCAACAATGATTATCGGTACAAAGAAATTATATAATACCAATAATCGTGGAATATCAAGTAAATCAGTTTTTCCCATGATTTCCATCGCAGCAAGAGCACAGAATGCGTATCCTCCATGTGCCTCGATTCCTGGAACTCCTCCAATTCCACCATCAAAGTTTTGGCATCTATCAAACGAAACGACATAAATATTAGCCTTACATCATTTAAAACAAACTATTACGTGCATTTCGAAATTATAGAAAATCTTTCACTTTATTACTTTTTTATCCATTCGGCAGTTCCGGCAGTTAATTCAGGTGTCAGAATATTTGTCAGAACGGCGACAGATAATGCACAATATGCTCCTCTAATTACAAATAAAAGATGTAAATATCGAAAATTCAAAATGTACGAGGACTATAATTTTCTCACCGCACATCTACTTCTCCACCTTCACTCATAACAAATGATCCGTCTGGTTGTTTTAGCTTTAATAGCCATTTATAAAGATTTTCCCTAGACATATTAGATTAATTTAAAATTTTTAACTGATAATAAGCATACAGATACGAAGAAAATCAAAAAACTAACCTATCAATTATATCATAAGCTTCCTGAGTTCCGAGAACAGCCAAAGCATTCACAGCAGCATAAGTGACTGCCACATGAGAAATTTGATCTGACCCGCCGCCAAATCCACCAGTTGAATTCTGATATTTAGAGAGAGTCGAAATTCCTCTTTTGTAAAATAAATATACGAATTAATAAAATAAGAACAACATTCAAAGAAACAAAGCATATATACATATATACCTTTTAATCAAATCTTCAGTCATAGGAGTCCCAAGTAAATCAAGAGAATGAAGGATCCAATAAGCAATCCAAGGTTTACTCGCGTCTAATGAGACGAAACCTCCGCTGAGTCTTGTAAGACCCCGTTCTAAAAATTTGATGTGTTTCTCTCGTTCTAGTTTTAATCTGTACATATGTATGTATGATCGAGTAAATTCGAATAAAGCGAATTTGTAGAATTCGGAGATTTATTGAGAAAACGCATGATTAAATAGTTAGAATCAATCAAAAGACTGGGGATTATAACTTACTCGCCAACATTACTAGTTGTATTCAATCTTCTGTATATGACATAAATGTCATGTTCAGTTTTCGACTATATATAATAAACAGATAAACAATTAATCGTGTCCACATTTTCTCTTTGTTATTATTGAAGTTGGACGTCGCGTTTTCTTGTACTGAACAAACAGACGAAGGAAAAGTGGAAAATAATAAAATAATATTCATGCGAACGTGATTCTTAATATATGTGTCTTCCTTTGTATTATCATTTACCTGGATACCTGTTTTAAAGATATTTTATATTACCTGAGCAATATACGAGTCAGTTGCGTGGTTATCCGAGTAGGAAAAACTCGTTTCTAAACGATGCATTCCCAACTTATTAATAGTTTACACTTTGGGAATCTTTAAGAATAACGATAGTTATATGTGTCAAACAATGATCTAGCACGTGATCTCGTGTAAACCTAAAAATTTACGCGTCTTTCTTTTGATGTGTGGGATAAATGTCTCGAACGGCAAAAATAACACTAGCCACTTCGATAGTTGCGTCAGTGACGATAGTGTGGGGTGTACATTATTTACAAGTAAAAGAAAAAGAGGTGATATTATGTCCTTTCGGTGAAAATATTAGATATTCGATATATTTATTTTTTAACATGTCGATGAAATTTTTATCCATAGTCGATGCATGCAAATATCGCGCGAGAAGAAACACGTGAATTAAAACGACTACATGAAGAAAATAATAATATTGATAATAAAGCTGAAAAATTCAAACAAAATATTCGTGAACTTGAACAACAAATTCAATTACAGGAAGAATATGAAAAAGTTCAACCTGTTAATCGCCACGTAGATAGATGAACATGTATGATATACATTTAAAGTCTTATTACATTTGATGCAAAAAAGCATCACAAAATTGTGAAAAAAACAGGTGGTTAAACTATTTTCTCTTATCATAAAACTAAATTCCATTTAAAAAACCAAGAAAATAAAAAATGGCAAAAATAGAAGAGATTTCGCCTGAACAAGAACAAGCGCAGTCAAAAGGTAAAAAGATTTAACAAATCAAGACAAAAGAATTTGTCGTCTGGTTTTTGATTCCGTTGTCGTTGCAGAGTCTCTGAATTAGAAATTGAAATAAATAGCAATATCAAAATAACTATGATATTTTACTGCTTCTTTTGTCTAATAATTTCCTCTCTTTATTAAAAGACACGAAAAATAATATCACATCGACAAAAGAGCAAGAACATGAAAATACAAACACCAGTAATTTAAATCCCACTGAATCCACGGATCGAAATAAGATTGAAAGGAACGAAAAAGAGCAAGAGCAAACAAATGACAACGAAAATGAAAACGAAACCACGCCAAAATTCACACCCCAAGAGATAAAAGAACTAATACAAGAAGCAAACCTAATAAAATCACACGGCAACGAACTATTCTCCAATAATCGATACGAGGATGCAATTCAGCAGTATCAAAAGGCTTTGGACACGTGTCCTGTCGAGTGTAGAGTGGAACGTGCGGTTTTTTGGGGAAATATCGGCGCTTGCGAAATTAAACTGGTTGGTTTTTGAACTAACTGAATTGAACTTTGGTGAATATTACTACTTAAATTTTGATGTCCATATATTAAATTGCTTTTATTTTATTTTTTTGGTTAAAAGGAGAATTATAATCGAGCTGTGGATGCTTGTAATAAAGGTATGCTGATAAAAGTATCCAAGTATGTTTGAATTAAATAATGATTGTTAATATAATTCGGCAATGCAGCATTGGAAGATTCACCAAATTACACAAAAGTACGCTTAAGGCGTGCACAAATCAATGAAAAAATAGGATCGCATTCATCACTAGTTAGTGCACAAGAAGGTAAAAGTTAAATTTACTTGGAAAGTTTTAGCTCATTTTTGTGATTAACTAAAAAAAAAATCAACTTTTCCTTCTCTCCTCACAAAATTAGACTACAACCTAATACTAACCACCTACCAAAAAGAATTCAACCAACTCCCACACTCCACCCAGAAATCCATAGAATCTTCGCTCTCGCAACTACCCCAAAGAATCGCACAAGCTCAAGAGCGTGAAAAAGAAGAAATGATTAGTAAGTTTAAGGATTTGGGAAATACGTTGTTAGGAAAATTTGGATTGTCAACTGATAATTTCAGCATGGTGAAGAATGAAGAGAGTGGTGGATATAGTATTCAGTTTAATAACACTAAGAAGAGTGATGGTGACAGTAATGATACATGATTGATTGATAAGAAAATCTATATTATTTTTCTGCATTTTGATGGTAAAACAAATCAATGAACACGTTTGCTTCAAATTATCAAAAATATAATAATAAATTTTCGACTCTAAAAACATTTATTCTGGATCAATAATTTATTAAAGAACTCAAAAAGATTTAAAATTAATGATATATAAATAAAAAAAATTCACGGTTCCTTAAAATTATACTCATCGGATGGCCTTCTTATACGATCATAATCACCTTCTGAGAACTCTGTATTCATCGCCTTGATATAGTCAATTTCCAACGAGAAAGGACCGGTTTTCCGATCTAGTACCGAGAATCCAACAGTATTGACGCGTTCACGCATCATTAATATTTGTGGTGTTTGTACTACACCGTGGTTTGTTAGGATAAAGTCTTCGAATGGGATCTTTGAATAATATATATAATTTTTTTTGATATTTCATTCAATGGTAGGTGGATAATGCCAAAATGAACAAAATCACGAAAGATGCTACCATGACAATTTCCCATTCGCCCGGCCGTCTCAAAAACAATCGATGCTGCCATAAATCAGTAAGTATCGGTGTATCTGTTTGTATATTTACAAAGTATTTACGACGGTCACCACGAAGTCGCATCGTTAGGTATCGAAATATTGTGGTGTCCCATGCAGGAGTGCCAAGTAATGTGAACTTATTTTTCTTATCATTTCAAAGTACTTGATTAATATGTTGATATAAAGAGATTTCCGATATAAAGAATTAAAAATCACTTTTGTTCGTATCCCCGCATAACCAAACTTTGGGCGTTGTGACTTATGAACATTGTTGATATCCGTGGTGGGTGATGCTGTTGGAGTTGTAATGTTCCCGTGGAATTTACCGTACCCTTCCGGTGTTAATTCGAATTTCACTTCCGAAGTTCCTTTTTTTAAAAAGTAATTGATCATTTACACCCTATTATCATAATCAGATTAGGTTTATTATTCTTTCAATTCACCGCCAAAATCTTTATCAGATCCAACCACCCAATCGTTTATATCTTCTTGTGTGTTTGCGGTCACCATCACCATTTCTTTTTGCCAGTAGAATAACGGGTTCTGCCCCATGACTGTAGAAATTAACCGCAATGAATCCACTTAAATTAATTATTGTTCGCTGATAAATCAATGCGTTAATTTATTACTCTTCGAAAAGAGCATTACCTTTTAGTCCTTCATCCTTGATTGCTTCTATGGATCGTTTCATGAAATTTCGTAGTGCCATTCTCTTGAATTTGATCAATTAATGATTTTGGGATACGTTAATTATTTGTTCGTTACTCGTTTAGGTCTATTTCACAGTCGATCCAAAATATTTCATACGCGTTAAATTATCTCGCACTCACCGCTTTTTGTCCAATTAAATAGATAAATAAATAAATAATGAGTAATCTTAAAGAACAAAATACATTAATCCCAGAAAAAGAAGAGAAAGAAAAGCTAAAGTTGGATACAAAAGAAGCAGCAGCACAGTTTTGGCAAAAGTTTCAAGTGGAACGGGGAGGTTAGCTTTGTTTTAGCAAAGAATATTATCTCTGAGATTTTTTATTTAACAACGACGTATATATTAATATAAACAATTCAGCAATAACCAATGACATTGCATTACTCTCCAACACTACCTCCACATCCGTGATTACCAAAGAATGCGACAAGATTCTTGAACGGATTAATAATCTCGAGAAAAAATTGACAGAAGCTACAATTTACCTGCCGTCGTATGATCAACGACAACTGAGTCTGGTAAGAAAAAAAAAATCTTAAGATGAAATCATTAGTTCTAAACAACATGATTATTCTGAAATATTATTCGATTAATCTATTCTCTTATGATATAGCAAATAAAATCAATGATCGATGAATTAAATATAAGACGTACATTATTAGCTCCAAAGCAAAAATTTTCTTTTAAATCACGAAAAGTAGCGACCTCCAATGACGAATCAAAAAAGCTAACCACAAAATCTGAATCAAAAAGCACCACTACAACTACAACTAGCACGACAATATCATCATCATCATTAGACAGTCACAACGATCCAAATCTACGAGTAATCACATTACATAATCGACAAAAGGCATTTTTAACTGTGAATTCATATTTGTCGTCCTCATCATCAATTTCCGCGAAGATGATTGACGTTCAACTTTCCGATCTAACGCATTGTGTGGTAAATTTAGTGAGTAAAAGGATTTTTATTGGTGCCATACATGTTAAAGGGTTGAAGAATAGTGTGGTAGTTGTTGGTCCGGTTGGAAGTTCTGTTTTGATCCACGATTGTGAACGATGTGTGTTTGTTGTTGGCTGTCATCAGGTAAATAATTATAAAATCACATTTTGATTGAATGTCATCTTTTTAATTATTGTTAGGTTGATTATTAATATTTTTACCTTTTTTTTTCAATCAAGTTTCGAATACATACATCGAAACAAATGATTATTTACCTACATGTGACTAGTCATCCTATTATCGAAGATTGCCATGATATTCAATTCGCACCATATACAATTCCAATTGATGGATTAGACAAGATGTTTGAAGTAAGTTATTCACAATTTATTATATATCGAAATTCATTTGTGGTTAATCTACTTTATATATATATATATATATAATAATATAGGCAGTAAAATTAGATCCAAACTTAAATCATTACGACAAAGTGGATGACTTTAATTGGCATCGACAACAAGCATCACCTAATTGGAAGTTATTACCCGAAGAAAAGATACTTAAAGAATGGCCTAACAAGTTGCTGGATGATGACGAAATGTCACCTGATAACAACAACAATAATGAGAATCTGTCTGAGGAGATTATTGATCATTTACTTGCAGAAATTTTAAAATAACTCGTTTGTGTAATATATTATTGTATATTATATTTAAATAGAACTTCATGTCGTGCACAAAAATCTATTTTTTACAATTCTAATCTATATCTTCATCATTTTCACGATTATGCTCTTCTTTCAAAAGTGTATGCTGCACACCACTTTCTATATGTCTCGCATACGGCCACATTACGTGCCATTCACTTCCCCACCCAAGATTTTTATCGTTACTCTTATTCCTGCCAACATTTACCGGCGCCTCAAGAAAATGCTTAATAGCCAATATCATCTGTTTAACACACCCTTCTTCCGGAAACTCACCAACACCGGTTCCAAATCCTGCGCAGATAACATTATTAATCCTATCTTCTGGTCGACGCAACGTCGCATTATGCTTACGAATAGAAGTCAATAACGCCCAAGTACATCGATACACAATATCATCACCTCCATATAATGCTTTCGGTGTCCGCATCGTAGGACAATGGGCAATATACCGTGGAACATTTTTCCGATCCTTAACCGATCCTTTAACTTTCTGTGCTAATTCATCCACATCCACCAGTAGACAGGTTCCTACATTCTGTTCGCCACACCAATCTTCTTGTATTGCTGATTGTACAACCGGAATCAACGAGTTCACGCCACCGTAGTATTCCGAAATGTAGTAGTCGAGTCCGCCGTCCATTAGTCCGAAGCTGTTGGCCGGTGATACTATACATTCTGCCGACCTTGTTTCTAGGTAGTTTTGGAAGGTGGTAAGGTGGATTTCTACGTTTAATGAATTTGATTTTAGATTGATTGCTGCGAGCTCTTTTTTCCATGCCTGTACTAGAGACTTTTGTTTGATTTTTGTTGTAGATGTTGTTAAAATTAATTTGTTAGATTTTGGAATTATTTGAATTGATCTAACTTACTTCCAGGATATCAATGAGTGTTAGTGTAAATTGATGTGGTGGCAATTGTTGCTGTGTCGGTTGTTGGTGGTCTGCTAAGTCTTGTTGGATAATATCATCTTTCTTACTGTTAGTGGTATCCATCGTTGATGACACCGATAATTTGTTGCCTTTGAAGAAAAATGCTATTTATATTTTTTTATTGATCCGAGAAATTTCGTATGTTTATTGTAATACATCGAACGATTGATATTAATCGTATGATTATGACTGTGTAGTGGCGTTCAAAAACGGGTTAATAATGATATTTTGCGCAGACTTAATCACACCATATTAAAGTTGGCAGCCCATCATGTGATCAATCACTCAGAGGTCAAGATTGACAAGATTTTCTCGACTTGGAGCAAAGTACGTTTAGTTTGTTTCATTAATTTAGCATTTTATATTTGCCCATACTTATATACAGTTCTCTAGTCCATACAGTTGGCTAGGAAATTTGAAAGATCCATGGCAGAAGGAGTTGATCTCGGAATTCGTGGAACCATTCAAGTAAGGAGAGTACAAAAAAAAGAAAATGCTTAAACAAGTTCAAAAAACGGATTTTATGTTGATGATAAGTCTGAAACTTTTGGCGGAAAGTTTGATAACAATTCAACCGAATCAGAAATTGCGACCATCAACTGTGAATGTAACGTACTCAAGAGAGATTTCGAAGCGAAAAGGAATGGTTGTGAAATTCATGATGGGTGCGTCAATTCGTTGTCAAATACTGGTGAACACACTGTCAACAGGAGTGAGAGTACAAAAAGTGCAGATGTTACAATGGGCATCAGATTATCGAACTGTCCTAATTCCAGAGAAATTGAAACCCTTGAAGCACATTTTGGGAAACTGTTCCGAATCGGTTCCTTGGGAGTCTATGATTGGACAGACGAAATCCCGTCACAACCCTGTCGACTTGTACACGCTCACTCTCGATCTACCCAAGAAGCCTCAAGCACAATTGAGTGTCAAGGAACCGTGCGCCATTTGTGAGTATATGATAGAACAAATTGCTTCTCAACGGGCAGCAACAATTCACCCAATTCGCTCATATTAGTTGATACATTTGAGAAATCTGTTAGATCTCAAATTGCAACCTTTATCGGTTGCAAGGTTAACACCAATAGTGATCCTAAAGAATTAGTTTACTATATAGCAAATGTTGCAGAACTCGGCTTTAATCACATAATCCTCTTCGGGGAGACCGAATATGAAATAATATTTTTAGACTGTTTGGTCGTGTTTTTATCTGGGAAGACATGTGTTGAATGGCGTATCCGCTTGGAAATTCTCTTGAAGAAGCGCAAAAACGCCCAATTGAAAGTATAGCATGTGGAAAACGGAATTGTATATGAATATATGAAGAACCTCAACGTATGTATGCAAAAAATGCTATAGCACATGTATATTTAATTGTTGGTACTTCTTTTACTTATCTTTTGTACCATTTTTTCTAGCTATATATACTGATACAAAAGGAGTAAAGAAAAAAAAGAGTTCAAAGAAGTAAAGTTTTCTATTTCGGGGTACTTCATACGCGAATAAGTAAATAATAATTCATAAAAATAATAATAAAATTTCGCTCATATTTTTTTAGCATGTGTGCATAGTGTGTCGTTGTATCGATAATAATTTCAAATTGCGTAATATGTTTTGCCCTAAGTCGGAAGTTCTAAACTGGGACAAGTATCAATCTGCACGATTCTGATCTGGGTTTTCTCTGATTATCTGATAATGTATAATTAATAAAGAAAACGTATTGCAGGTTGAATTCTTTAATAAATTTCTGAATCTTATATTATTCAGCAGTGGGATCAATTTTTCGAAGTAAATATTAGTATATTAATTAACTGATTTATTTATATCCTGAACTCAAGTATTTAATTATTATTATATTAATATTACAAATTTTTTTAGAAATAGATTTTAAAGAACTGATCATTATCACCATCTTAATAATATTTCAGCCAATCTTTAACTGTTTGAACTTTTTGTTGATATTAGTAATTAATGATATTTCAAAGGTATAATATTATTTTAACTTTTCTTTTATTACTTATTAATATTTATTGCCTACTTAAAATTCTTCTAATCAGATGACTAGATCTTTATATTTATTATTACTGAAGTTATAATTAAAATTAATTCTTGACTTTGATTATTAATTAGTTTAATAAGATTTTTAATATATCAATTAATATAATTTTTATTGTTAATAATAATAAAGCTGATAATAATAATGAATCTAAAATTAATATAATTTAATCTTTTAATAAATCAGAATCTTTTTTATTTTCAAAACTTATTAATAAAGAATTAAAAAATTTTTATATACTTTATCTAAGATTTTGAATAATTATTAATAATATTATTATTAAAAATAACTTCTTAACTATTACAACATTATGATAAATAAGTATTATCAAATTATAACTAATTATAATCTTAGTAATTTTGAGTTATAATATTATAACAAATAAAGTATTACTATATTATAATAGTTATAATATCTATTATTAATTATTATTATATTAAATATTAAAAAAGAATATATCAAATAGTTTATTTAATAAAATTAATATTTTTAATTATCAAAATAATAAATTTATCAGAAAAATAAATAATAATTATATAAAATTATATATATATAATATTTAATTAATATTATAAATAAAATTAAATAATATTAATTTAATTTGAATCTTTAAAAGTAATAATATTAATTAGTATATAGAGCTCTTAATTTTAATATAAAGTAAGTAAATTATTAATTATAACTAAGATATTTCTAAATTAATAATAGATTTTAATTATTATTAATTAAGTTAAATTTAGTTTTAAAAATTTATTATAAATTTATTTAGTTTTAGTTTTTACCTTTTATAAAAAAATATTAAATAGAAAATAAATTTAAATTTAATATTTAATTATTTAAAAATATATTCAAAATAATATTAGTAACTATATTTATTTAAATTAAATATTAATTAAAAAAAAGAATATATTTAAGAAAATAAATAAAAAAAAGATAATAATAAAATTTATAAATCTGTTAAAAAAATTTTAAAAATATAATTTATTATTTTAATTTTTTTTATTTTTAATTAATATTAATAAAGTATATAATAAGCTTATAATAAATAAATTATAATATTTTTACTAGTTAAATAAATAATATAAAATAAAATATAAATAATAATATTATAAAAAAATAATTTTTATTAGTTAAATAGTTAAAATTAAATAAAAGAATAAAGTAAGAATATAAAATTATTTTATTAATAGTTATAAATAAGATAAAATATGATATAAATAGTTTTAATTTTATAATTTATAATTA